ATGTGACCTTGGATTGTGGCATGGAGGCTGTACCCGGTAGTATAGCTTAGATAAATTCGGGATAAACGTCATTCCACAAATTGAAAGCATGAAAGCTCATGAATGACGCGTGTCGTGGCTTTGCTGCACTGCCTGTATACAGATGGACTCAATTACGTACCCAACGGGCTTAGCTGAGGCATTGCAGCGGCATAAACCCAAGAAAAACCGCCAAATCAATGCACTGAGCTTTCCATCCTTGTCTTTACGTGTTGAAGTGTGGATATGTACCCATTTCCTCGGCCATTGCCGCACTATCCACGTCACATATGCAGGCACCCCCCGCAAGGCACTTTCTAACCGCCCACTACCTCGACACCGCCACTCGGCATTCATCTAGACGTTCATGCAACAATGCCTCCATGTGCGTGGAAAGATGTGGCTATCCATAACGATTGGTTTCGACACCCTAGAAAAAACATGCCTGCGGACGGATGGCTCCAGGCGACCTCTTAGCTATTCTCGTCGGTGTTTGAGCTACGGAATCAGCCACTGGGACGGCTTTTGAGCCGTAATGCATGAATCATCGAGCAACTCGATGCACGATGCTCGGCTTCTCTGCCTTGCAGGGGTCCAGAGCAGTTCGAGTATTTCACCAGACCTGCCCCTACAATCGGCTGGTCTTCACTTTCACACATCAATTCCCTTTTCTACTACAATCTTCAAGTGGAATCGTGCTTATTATATTATTTCCGTCAATGGAAACCCAAGGAATGTCTTTGGCTTGCAACGCAACGTCACCGGGCTCCCAGTCCTTGTCACTTGGGACTGGCGATAGCTTTTCGTTTGGGGCTGAATCGTCCGACTTGCTCGCTGGTACTTTGGTTCCTGCAGTTACTACAGAAATTCTAGTCACGAGTGTCCCAGGAGGAGAAGCGGATGGCGATCCAAGAGCTGTCCATCCGAGACGTCAACGTAAGCCAGCCTCAAACGCGACATCTCAGACACTTTTTCTAAAACAAAGCAGAAGGCGGTCTCAGGTTGAAAAGGCATATCGTACATGGCCGGATCGCGAAAACGCGCAAGAGCCCAACCCAGGCTCAGGCCCAAGCACGAGCCCACTCTTTCCATGCCACCAGCATAGCTTGGGAGAGAGTTCAAGAATATTGGCTGGTTCATTACGAGGAGATCAGGATCTGGGTAACTGGGGCGCCTGCTCTACTTTCCTGGTTGAAGCTCAAGAAATTGTTCGAGGTCGAATATCACGATCAAGCTGGGGATGGACGAATAGGGCAAGGCCTTGCTAAAAAGTTATTCAAGGCTTGGGAGAAACTGCAGATGGATAACGGCGAAGACTATGGCGAGCGGCAAGCTTTCTCCGAGTTTACGAAGAGTCTCAATAGCTTCGCGCGGAAGCAAGCGATCAGTGATAAGCAATGGTTGAACATAAAATATGATGGGACAAGTGATGCGGAGTAGTGTTCATAGACATTGGGCTGTTCAAACTACATTGATATCGATATTTTCTAAGCTTGACATCGCGATCCATGTACATGATCCTAGCCCATTGGACCCTAAATCAAGAGGTCTTACCGCCGTCACTCGGGAACACGTCTACCTTCCTAAGCGAGAGGTCCACGGAAGGCGCCGGCGCCGGGTAGGGAACTCAGATTCCTCCGTGCTCTTCACTGCCTCCATGACTACAGGAAGGAAATTGTGGCAGAAATCTATATCTCGTGGGTGTCTGGCGTCCCACTTTGGGTCTTGTTTGTCTCCTTTCCACAGGTATTGTACGTCTCCTTTCCATATAACCAGCCTCAAGACCTTTGTTGGCGTTGCTGACTCCGGTAGGCTAGTACGCTCAAAATCTTTTACGTCTATAGGAACGAAATTGCGGCGCGAGAAATCGCCATCCCGTGGGTGTCCGGCGTCCCACTTTGGGTCTTGTACGTCTCCTTTCCACATAAGCAGCTTCAAGGTCTTTGTTGGCGTTGCTGACTCCGGAAAGCTAATAAATGTACGCTCAAAATCTTTTGCGACTATGGGAACGAAATTGCGCTCTCCGGGGTGGGGATTTTGTTTGTCTCCGGCCCACTGAAAAATCTCGAAGGCTCTTGGTGGCTGCATATGAATCTTCGGAGAGGCTCTTAGTGGGTGTATATAACCCTTCTGAATGCCATGTACACAGCCGAAATGATCCCGTAGTGCGTCCTTGTCTGGAACGCTGAGGTGGCATGATGGGTGAGGACAGTCTATCTGGCCTTCAGGAATCATGGCAAGGTGAGCCAGTATATGTTCTGCCAATGAGGGTTTGTCTTCCCAGCGGGGAAATATGTCATATTGGTGACGATTTGCCAAACAAAAAGGGCAGCGACCGGGGCGCAAGAGAAGCCCTCTCCAGAACATGGGGGCGCATAGAAGATCTGGAAGTTCTAAATGCGCCTCATCATGCTTGCGCATTTCTCCTGTAGGGATATGTTCGAGGCAGTCCAAGCAGAACTGGTGGCCGGGCCTGTTCGATTGTTGTGCATAGCAAAATATGATGTGCGAACTTTGATTTTGACGATAGGGTCCTTCTCGAAGCTTTTTATCGCACACTGTACATGTCTCCATATGAGGTTGTTTGCTGAATGGATAGGTAGGATAGAAAGCCTGAGGCCTCGCCATTTCGGTTAAAGGCTGGATAGCAACCTCAAACGAAGGTAGCTCGTTTGATTCAGAACACCATAAGGCATCTATGGCAGCTCTCCGATGGGTGTCAACCTTAAGAACATGATTGAACAGCTCAGAAGGCACTGGATCTGGTAATGACAGTTGGGTTTCACTGATGCTGTCAAGCTCCCCACTCGAAGCACGGAGGAAGTATTCTTGTCGCTCTAGTCGAAGGTCGGCCTTACGGAGCTGGCGAATGATGTCGTTACGAGCTCTGTGTGGAAATTTTGAAGATACTTCCTGTATCCTCTCTTCCGCAATGACTGGAGCATGTGTGTTATACTTTGCCGCTGCTGGTAGGGGGGCCCCGATATCTCTAGTAAACCGGATACTCCGAGCAAGGTCTACACGGTTCAGATCCTGAGGGAGGCCCCGGACAGCATTTTGTGTATCAATAGCGATATCGTTCGAGAGATAAGACTGGAATGTCCCGTCATTCGCGTGTCCCATAAGTTGTCGTAATCGATTTGCGGCCACCTTCCCTTCTATACCATTTGCAAACCCTCTTCGGAATGCGTAGGCAGTGATATTATCCTGATAACCACACCTCTGCCCAATTTTAACAAGTTGATCGCGTAGGGTAGATGCTGAAAGAATTCGAGACGGGTGTATTGATGCTCCTTTTGTTGCTCGAATGACTGGAGTCTTACACTTGTCCGCTCGAATTCGGTAGAGCTTAGATGAAGCAGTCAATGGGAGTGATCGATGAGCAAAATCGCTAAAAGACTTTGGTCCCTCAAACGCATCATCTGCAAGAGCCATAGAGATAAACATTCGTACAGGACAAGCAAATGCGTGTTCAGGTTTCGTCTCTTCGTGAAGCACAATTGTATCCCTGCTATTATCAGTAAGTCACCCTAACAAGCTGTTCTTATAACTCACGCTAAGCCCTCATCATTGCGCTTGAATTTCCGATACTTTAGCAGAATCTTAAGCTGATATGTCAAAGTGCCCTCAGATCTGACGAGATACAGCGAGCAGTCTTCGTAGGAGATGCCCTCGTTTGACCCACGATGATTGCAGGATTCGGTAATTTCGCCTGGACGGAGACCCCAATATCCCATCAGTTCCAGAATCCAGATAGTCTGAATCATCTCTCTTGGATGTACCCAGACATACTCATCGCAGCACATTAAGAAATATATTATGTCTGCTATATCGGCGAAAAGTCCAACAGGTTTTGGTCGTTTACGTGTGGATGCGCCTTCAAGTCCAGGGAGCTTAGAAATATACTGCCATGTCTATTAGTAGCTTTCTTAGACAGTGAATACTTTAGGGGTATACTAACATAGTAGATGTCGTCGCGTTCTTTAGGACTATACTGGTGCCTTTCTTCATACTTGAGAGCGCGTTCCAATTGATTGAATTCCTTCCTTAAAGTGGAAACATTCATTTTTGAATCAAGTCGGCCCTGGCCTCTGCGGACTCTCCATTTCAGGTAGGCCTGAATCTGCGGCACTGTAGGCGGTGGACTAAAAAGACTTTCCCTTTGAAGCGTCCGAAAGTTCTTCGCGAATCTATATATAGTTACCGTCAGTCATGAATGTATAAGTGATATAAAATCGATTCTTTACCTAGTCCAGTGTTTCCGGAGCCGTTGTATTGGCCCAATCTCGTAGGCTTTCGGTTGAGCAGAGATCACCGGCTGTTGAGCACCTTCCTCAAGCTCAAGTGCAATATCTGAATCGTAATCACTGTCATTCGTCGACATTATCAATGGAGAGAAGTGCGTGAGCCTTGGAAAGAAAACGGGGCATGAGAGCGCTGGGTATTTGGAAGAGACTTGCGGCCATTATGGACCCATTTACTCCTATGCACAGTGCCACAATCTATTCTGACCACCGACATCCAAGACATTTTCGCCGCAAGAGGGGTATATTTCCGTCGAGTATCATGCGTGATGCAAATGGATTTTAGAAATCCGGAAACGAAGACTGGAAAAGGTCCGTGCTCGTTTAGCGCGATTCCTCCACTCCTGCGCGCCTCGTAAGGTTAAGTACCAGTCTTCCCAAACTTTAGGTTAAGAAACGGCTACACTGCAATCGCAGTCATTGTAATCTAATACACTGTGCTGTCAAGTGTGGCAATCGTGTCTTCGCACCAGAGGAGGCGCCTGGAGAGCGGGGGGTTCGGTACACAAATCAAATCCCAAAATTGGAAAACGGATTACAGACCGCACAAGTCTTTCAACTTCACGAATGGGCTTGTGGTTTATTTAGTACACCAGAAATGCGCCAAAAAAATTTTAATAATTAAAAAAAACTAATGGACTTGCTGGGAATCGAACCTTTTCAGTTTGTTAGCGTGCGTGACTTGGACAGGGAAGAGACTCGAACCCAGGACCTTTCCCACGCACCTCCGTTGCTGATGGCCGAATTTGGACATGCAGGCATGCTAAGGGAAAATTATACCACTAAACCACAAGCCCGATATGTTTGTTGAAGAATTTGGGCCGTCTAAAATATTATGTCCTGTTTTTCAATTTTGGGATTTCGAAAGCTGGTTTTGTGTGCTGAACCCCGCTCGCTAGAAACATACTAACGTAACGCTTCTCGCGAAAGGGTACGGTAGAGAAGTCGCCTCCTTTAATGCGAAGACATGATTGCCATGCTCTACAGCGTAGTATATAAGGTGACAAAAAGTGCGGTTGCAGTGAAGCCGTTTCTCAACACAGCCTTTGGGAAGGCTGCTACTCAATCTTACGGAGGCGCGGTGGAGGAATCGCGCTAACGTACCGTAGAAGAGCACGGACCCTTTCCGTTTTCCAGTTCCCGATTTCCGAAATCCATTTGCATCACGAACCATGCCCGGGCTTATGCTACTCGACGGGAATATACCCCCCTTGCAGCTGAAATGTGTTGAATTTCGGTTAGGCAGACTGTGGAACCGTGCAGAGGAGTCAATGGATCCATAATGGTCGCAAGTCTCGTCCAAATTTGAAATACCCCAGCGCTCTCATGCCTCGTTTCCTTTCCAAGGCTCACGCACTTCTCTCTATCGAAAAGGCCAATGGATGACAGTGATTACGATTCAGATATTGCATTTGAGCTTGAGGAAAGCGCTCGACAGCTAACAGCCTTTGAACAACCGAGAGCCTACGAACTTGGGGAAATACAACGGCTCAGGAAACACTGGACTAGGTAAAGAATCGACTCTATATCCATCCTTCCATGACTGACTGTAAAAATAAATAGATTCGCTAAGAACTCTCCGACGCTTCAGAGGGAAAATCTTCTTAGGCCACCGCCTACAGTGCCGCAGATCCAGGCCTACTTGAAATGGAGAGTTCGCAAAGGAAAGGGCCGGCTTGATTCAAAAGTAAATATTAACACTTTGAAGAAGGAGTTCCTCCAGTTGGAACGCGCTGTTAGGTATGAAGAAAATCACACGTATAGTCGTAGAGATCGCCATGTTATCGTCAAAGTTAATATACCCCTAACGTATTTACTGTGTAAGAACACTACTAATAGACATGACAGTACATTTCTAGGCTCCCTGGACTTGAAGGTGTGTCCACACGTCAACGATCCAAACCTGTCGCACTCTTTGCCGATGTATCAGACATAATTTATTTTATGTTATGCTGCGATGAGTACGTCTGGATACATCCAAGAGAGATGATTCAGACTATCTGAATTCTGGAACTGATGGGGTATTGGGGTGTCCGTCCAGGCGAAATTACCGAATCATGCGGTCATCGTGGCTCAAACGAGGGCATCTTATACGAGGACTGCTCGTTGTATCTCGCTAGAACCAGTAATAGCGAGTTGACGTATGAGCCCAAAATTCTGCTAAGGTATCGGAAATTCAAGCGCAATAATGAGGGCTTAGCGTGAGTTACAAGAACCGCTTGTAAGATCTATTTACTTATAATAGCAGGGATACCATCACGCTTTACGAAGAGACTGATCCCGAAAGGGTACACAGTTGTCCAATACGAACATTTGTTGCTTTGGCTCTTGCAGATGAGGCATTTGAGGGACCGCAGTCTCCTAGTGATTTCTCTCATCGATCACTCCCATCGACTGCTATATCTAAGGTCTACCCAATTCGAGCGGACAAGCTCAAAACTCCAGTCGTTCGAGCAACAAGTGGAACATCAATACACCCGACTCGAATCCTTTCGGCATCTACCTTGCACCAACATCTTGAGAAGATTGGGCAGAGGTGTGGTTATAAGGACAATATCACCGCCTATGCGTTCCGAAGAGGGTTTGCAAATGGTATAGAAGGGAAGGTGGCCTCATCTCGCGTACGGCAACTTTTGGGACACTCGAACGATGGGATACTCCAGTCTTATCTCTCTAAAGATATGGCTGTTGATACGCAAAATGTGGTCCGGGACCTCCCTCAGGATATGAACCGTGTAGACCGTTCTAGGAGTATCCGGTTTACAAGAGATATCGGGGCCCCCAAACCATCAGCAGCAAAGCATGGCACACATGCTCCAGTCGTTACGGAAGAGAGGATACGGGAAGTATCTTCAAAATTTCCACATAGAGCTCGTAACGATATCATTCGCCAGCTTCGTAAAACAGATCTTCGACTTGAGCGAGAAGAATACTTCCTCCGTGCTTCGAGAGGGGAGCTTGACAGCACCAGCGAATTCCAAACACCATCCGTGGATCCAGTGCCTTCCGAACTGTTCAATCACGTTCTTAAGGTCTACCCCCACCGGAAAGCTGTCATAGATGCATTATGGGGTTCTGGATCAAAGGAATCACCTTTGTTTGAGGCTGCCGTCCAGCCTTTAACTGAAATGTCGAGGCCCCAGGCTTTCTACCCTATCTATTCATTCAGCAAACGACCTGATATGGAGGAATGCACCGTGTGCGATAAAAGCCTTCCCAAAGGAATACATCGTCGGAAGCTCCAAAGTTCGCATATAATTTCTTGCTATGCGCAACGATCGAATAGACCCGGCCACCGGCTCTGCCTGGACTGCCTCGAACATATCCCTACAAGAGAAAGGCGCAGGCATGACGAGGCGCATTTAGAATCTCCAGATCTTCTATGCGCCATCATGTTCTGGAGAGGCCTTCTCTTGCGCCCCGGTCGCTGCCCTTTTTGCTTAGCAAATCGTCGCAAAGATGTCATGTTTCCCCGCTGGAAAGACAATAGGCTATTGGTGAAACATACACTGGCTCACCTTGCCATGATCCCTGAAGGTCAGATAGACTGTCCCCACCCATCATGCCACCTCAGCGTTCCGAACAAGGACGCATTATGGGATCATTTCGGCTGCGCACATGGCCTCAGGAGGGTTTATCGACACAAGGCGCAGGACGTTGCTGAAATTCAAAGCCAGTCAAGCACTGATGGAATGCAGGATTCAAATGAGTTGGAAACAATCACGGTGGATTGATTCGGGCGAAAACGAGTTACAGATGCGGAAGATTCTTCGAGGATTCATGCGTAAAGCGCGAGAGCTCGAGCAAGGAACTAATTTCATCATTTCCTCTTTGTTTACGTTACGACAGAAATGCTGCATCCATTCGATCTCAAGGTGCTCACTTCCCATGAGGATCAATCAGTGTCGCTGGTCTCATGATGGGCAGCTTCGCCTCCAGCCTGGCGGGCCCCATCATTGCAAGAGTTTCTCGCGGACATCAAGAGTCGACAATCATAACCAGTTCTATACCAGTGCAACGATATGTTCGCAGCACACAATTTCTTGGTAGAGACGCAGCAGGAAGGCGATCTAGTGGAGCTGGTTGAAGCGAGGAACATGGCTCTTGCTACGAAGGACTTTTCGCTTCTTGTACTCCAACCATGGCCTAGAACTATCAGTTCGGAGATATGGAGGCTTTTTACGCCGAGAGCTTTGCGCAACTTGATGCTCAGAATACACTCATTGAGCCTCAGGATGAACCTACACTGCGTCCCAAGCGTGCTGCAGCAATGGCGGCTCCAGATGCCTGGAAAGCTCTTAGCCCACGCAAGAGACATGGACATTAATAGAAAATAGCGTAATTGAATATATAATCCAGCATCAACTGCTGCTTAGATGTCCGCACACCGATGCAGTCTGATTACTGCAATTCATTGAACGCTAGTCGAGGTATGGCTAGCGCGGGGGACAAATCTCAAAAGGGGGGACAAATCTCGCCAGCCTCCTTACTTACCACCATTTCCAAAACATACACCCTTTCTCATTGTCCGGCGTCATCCATCCCGATTTTCAGCGACTAGCTATAAGGTGCATCCGCAACAATTCTCCCAGCTCCATTTGTAAGCCGGTATGGAGGGTGTACAAGGCGTATTGAGCACGTTACAAGTGTGGTGTAGATGTGTTCAGATCTATCTCGGAGAGATGGCTGACAAGCAGCCTTAAGTACATGATACTTGGTCACGAGGTAGTCCTGTGACCTAGGCTTACATATAGAGTGAGGGTGATGAGGACTAAGGACTTCTGCCCGTAGCCTACAACAGTCCTGCATTAAGGAAATTGCCGGGTTTACTCTACCCAGACCCTTGAATGTTAATGCAAGGTTGTTCATACTGGTCAGCGACGAGCGTGTTGGGATGGTCTGCTCCGAGCTTCGTCTTGCGAGTCTCCATCACTTCCACCTCTAGCTCTTCAGCAGCGTCCCATCGGCCTTGGTTCCTATACATAAACGCCAGGTTAACCATGCTGGTTAGCGTGTCGGGATGGTCCGTGCCAACATGAAGTCACCGAGAGCTGGTCAAATGATCAGTCACGTAATAAGTCACGCGACCCAGTACATAGAATCTTGCCTGGAGCGTCCGTACGGCGCTCCAACCTTCAATCAACACTTCTTACACCTCATATTGTTCAACA